ATGAGCTTGTCCAGGAGAACAACCTGAGAGGCAGCAGAGGATGGAGCAGGGGATGTCCTTTGTGCCTGCTTTAAATACTTTTATATGCTAATTCTAAATTATAGTAACTCTAAATTTTTATTGGAATAAGGCAAAAGCTCTATTTCACTAGAGAATCTGGTATGGGAACTGAAGAACTTTCTGTCTTCTATGCCTAGAGTATTTTATCTTATAGAGTAAGATGTGGCATGAAAAATGACATGATAAAAAAAAACTTCAAAGTGAATTCTGTGTACACAAGTAAATATATTTGAATAGGAAAAAACCCTTCACATACTGTTTATCCTTCAAAATATCTTCTCTTTGTTTCTTTTTCCCTAAACTGTCTCTTAGAAAAAGTAAAGATTTAGTACTTATCTATTCAAGTGTTTATAACTTAATTACTAAAAACATAATATGGTCTAGAAGTAAGTAAGCAATATTGAATGTTATAACCTACAGCAAAGAGTTCTTCCTAAAAAAGAATGAATAGCTTAGAATTATGTTAGTTACCATGTGGTTAATTTCCCCCTTCACTTAGGAAATTATTTTTTTTTAATTAAAAAAAATTTTAAAGGTCATCTCAGCTTCAGAAGGAAATGCATTACTTTTAATTAAAAAGATATCTGTAACATAGAAAAACTATACACATCTGTGAGGAAAGGGTGCCAGCCTGTGGTAGCCATTAAGTCACTTTTTCACATACATATTATGCATATTCATACAAGGGAGGCTTGAAATATTCAGGTATAGGTTTACCTACACTTGAATTTTCTCATATTCACAAAACAAGAAGGGAAGACAAATTATCGTGCAAAACAGTATCAGCAACTCTCAGCCACAGCATCAAAATAGGAAGTTAGCCAGCAGACACTTTGCAGCCAAGCTAGATCCTACACAAAAAGTCTCTTTTGTACAAAGAAAAATGTTTTGCTTTTGTTTTTTAAAAAAAGGCTGTAACTGGCAAATTTTTTTCCTCAATGCTTGCCCCAAAGTTCAGTGTTGTAACTTCCTATTCCAGATGCCTACTGCATTAGTGAAACTGAATGCAAACATCCATTAACACAAATGTGCTTCCAATTCTGCATGGTGAATGGATCCTCTTTCCAATCTTATTTTCATCTACTTCTCTTCCAATGTTTTCTAAAGAAAATCAAAGTATTTTCCAGCCTCCACTCTTATCAAAGGTTTCACAAGAAGAAACCAAATTTCAGTTTGATTTTGATTTTGTGTCTGACGGAGGGAGTATACCCTCCAGATGATACTAAATTGTATCACTAATAGCAATATGGCCAAAACAGTAGTTTCTGCCTCTTCTGCTCTCATGATTTTAACATTAACTTCAAAATGACATCTCTAAGAAACTCTCTAACCCCTAAAATACTGCTGGTTTACAAGCTGGTCATCTTTATCACAGGTGCAGCAGTCATGCTCATGGCTTTGGAGTCTTCCATCTGTCACTTACTGGTGTGCTACCTTCAGTAAGTTATTTCACCATTTTAAACTCCAGTTTCAACTGGTTAAAAAGCTAGTTCCTTTCCTCCATAGAATTGGCTGTAAAGATTAAATAAGACAGTAAAAGCTCAATAAAAATTAGCAACATACTACATCTATATTTCTGTCAGTATCTTTTATAAAACACAGGAAAACATTAAAATTTACTCCTCTCTCTTTTTTTTTTTTTTTTTGAGACAGAGTCTCACTTCTGTTGCCCGGGCTAGAGTATCGTGGCATCAGCCTAGCTCACAGCAACCTCAAACTCCTGGGCTCAAGCGATCCTCCTGCCTCAACTTCCCAAATAGCTGGGACTACAGGCATGCGCCATCATGTCTGGCTAATTTTTATATATATATATATATATATATTTTTTTTTTAGTTAGTCAATTAATTTCTTTCTATTTATAGTAGAGACAGCGGCTCACTCTTGCTCAGGCTGGTCTCGAACTCCTGACCTTGAGTAATCACTAGCCTTGGCCTCCCAGAGTGCTAGGATTACAGGCGTGAACCACTGCGCCCAGCCTTACTCCTGTATTTTGAAACTCTCAGGAATAAAGGATGAAATTTAACACTGCTTGATGGAAAAAGGAATCTATTAAGCAAAAGATTGAGGACCTATTAAGGAGCACAACTTATTTAAGGAACTGATTATTCTATTAACACTCTAATTACAAATCTATTCATGTCAAAAGTTTAACTTCCTCACTTAGGAAGCTGCTGATTATTTCATTGTAATTATAAATCTATACATATATATTCTCAAAGTAGTACAATTTAATAAATATCACAAAATTTACTTTAAAAAAATTTAACTGCCCTTTCCTCAGTCCAAATTAATGACATTTTTTGTATATACCTCTCTCTGAAACCCAATGGTGATAAATATTACTTCAGGATTAAAAATACAAGTCATTTTTAAATCTAAAAATGTCCTATTTAATGTTACATATTGCTTAATATGGTTTGGGTATATACAAATAAGGCAGTTTCTCAAGGATAGACGACTACGGGATATGAAGCCAAAGAGATTAGCTGGGTTAGTGCCAGTGGAGTCAAGGTGCATGTTGTTGGCAGCAGTCATTTTGAAAGGCCTGTGTGGAACTGGGCTATTCCTAGTACCCCTACTCCCCTCTCTCCTGGGTTTCAAATACAGTTAACCAAGTAACCCACAACTTCCTCTTCCCTTATTTTTATTAAGGCAGACTAGAAGCTACCACTCTTGGCTACTCTAGAATACACCTAATCACCTGCCAAGGTGTTCCCTCAAACAACTGAACAGGCTGACCTCTAAACCTGCCAATGAAAGAGCCCCACGGGGCAACTTTTCTATCATGTGCTCTCTTTTTTTGGCAGGAGAAAATGTTACTAATAGACACTAGATTCAAACACTTTCAGTGAAATGGCATTTTCAACTGCCTCTTAAAAATAACACTATTCTGAATCTGTACTGGTCAAAATATTGTTTTTATAAGCAAAAAGGAAAAATGACAAATGTATGCTTATTTACAAACTCTATTACGTGCTGTGGAACTGAAGTCTACTTAAACATTCATTTTTAATTAGAAAATTCCTTTTTATTTACCTCCATTTTACATGAGTGTATGTGTAACTTTTGCCAATGGATTAAAATAACTTATAAAGTTATGACAGTTATCTTTTCAACCTTTCACACATTAGGTATTTTGGGCATATGTTACATTGTTACACTCTTTAGAGTATCAACTATCCGCTTTCTATATGAAAAGTGTCTTAAAGTTAGAATGTATTTTTAAAAATCTAAAATATCTACAATAGCGGAAATATAATTATTTATTCTATTTATATTACATTTTTCCAGAGTAAATATAATACCTATTTGCCAAAATTATTACATTTCTCATTAAAAAAAAAACTGTAAAGACATAAATCTGGGTGGCTCATGCCTGAAATCCCAGCACTTTGGGAGGTTGAGGTGAGAGGATCACTTGAGCCCAGGAGTTCAAGACCAACCTGGGCAATACGGCAATACCCCATTTCTACAAAAACTTAAAAAATTAGCAAGACCCTGTCTCTATAAATAAATAAAGTCAAGTTTCAGATGTTAAGAACAATTACTTTATATGCTTGAGTTACTTTCTAACATTCACAAAATTTCCATCTTTTAATGTAAACATATTAGTGTCAAAGGTCATGATTTGATAGCTAAATTTACACAATAAGACACATTATAAAGGAGGGTGGTTCCAATGTTATCAGTCTGAATTAAAAGTAATAAATTGTGTATCACATTTCCTAAGAAGCAAATTAAACCAGGCAAAAATTTTACTACATTCATTCTATCCCATCATGTTTTTATTATTGTAAGGTCAAAAGTCTTTTGCAGCTAGAGAATTCCAGCTAGGACAAACTATTTGCTCAGGGCTTCTTAGACCTATCAAGTGATTTTTTTTTTTTTTTAGACAGAGTCTGACTCTGTTGCCCCTGCTAGAGTGTAGGCCTCAGCCTAGCTCACAGCAACCTCAAACTCCTGGGTTCAAGCAATCCTAGTGCCTCAGCCTCCCTAGTAGCTGGGACTACAGCCATGCGCGAACCATGCAGGCTAATTTTTTGGATATATTTTTAGTTGTCCAGCTAATTTCTTTCTATTTATAGTAGAGACGGGGTCTTGCTCTTGCTCAGGCTGGTCTTGAACTCCTGAGCTCAAACGATCCTCTCACCTTGGCCTCCCAGAGGGCCTATCTAGTGATTTTAATTACTTTTTTTCTTTTTTAAAATAAAGGTTTTCCATTGAGCTATATTTGGAGTCTAGCACAATAGCAGAAATGAAATAGCGCCTTACTATTAATATAAATTGACAAAGCACATAGTGCTCTTTCAGATTTTTGCCAATGCTACCCCCACAAATCCAATTCCCTTCCCTACTGGTTGGCAGATTTTTAAAAAAACAAAACCACAACTTAATCTCTAGGAGAAGCAGCCTTACTTGCCAAAAACTCAACTGGCTTGTTCAGTGTTCTGAGGCAGTCTGGAACCAGCCTAGCTCTGAGGAAACATCTCAGATAAATTCACATTAAAATACTCTAGCTAGGCTGGTATTTTTGTAGTTCAGTGGAAGCACACTTTTCCATTGTTTTTCCAAACTCAACACCTCTCTAACCAGTTATGTAACTGCAAATCAATATGTTAAATGCATTCAATAGATAGGGTTGTTTTCTAAGCCACAATTCTATCTGCTCCAAATCCTGTAGGCAAGTTTTTAATTTTTAAGAAATACTCAAAACTATACCTAAAACTTATATTGTTAAAGAAAGGGTACAGCCAGCCTCATTCTCCTTTATTAACCTTTATAGGAAACCCACTGGAAGCTGGTGAAGAACTGACTTGTAATTCGTTTTTATATTAAGGGATTTAGGGGCAATAGAAGACTTGTACTTCATATCCCCAGTTACAGCCTCTTTCTCAACATTTTTCTTTTATTAATGCACACAAAAAAATTACAGACTTGCCTTGTGAGGTCGAAAATAGAGATACAGGCTGAGAGGAAGAGGAAGAAACAAAGGAATCTGAAAGAAAATATACAGCATGAGAATTTGACAACCTCACACAAGAATTTTAATTTCAACTTTCTTTTTGGGGGGCAGGGGCAAGCATCATAATTTCATTGAGTTTAGCAAGGGGGAAAACTCCAAATAATTTCCAATTATCGTTTTCACTCACCTGGCAGCAAAACCTTATTTTCAAGATGCATTTCTAAAAGTTAATCAATTCAAATTTTTTTTTTCTTAGTCAAACATTCTCACCTTCAGAGGAAGAAAAGAGGAACCCCTAGTGTTTTAAATCAAGCATAACCTCAGGAACAGATAGATGATGCTCCTTTGCTACTGTGTGGAAAAGGGAAAACAAATATCTGAGTACTAATTAATATATGCTTTTAACCATTTTCAACTGCATTTTGAGGAGTCAGCCACTAATATGAGCATTCAAAAATATCTAATTGGCAAATGTGTGAAGTTGACCCTGAATACTCAATTATACTCCTCTAAACTTGGCAATATATCAAAATTTCAAATGTGCATATCTTCCTCCTGCCCTGCCACGCACATAATCTTTAACTCAGCAGTTATATTATGCCTCTAAGAATTTATCCTGCAGACATATTTACATATGTGTACAAAGATGTGTATTCATAAAACCAGTGCTTTTATGAATATGTGTACATATTCATAAAAGCACTGGTTACAAATACTAGGAATACTAGTAAATAGAAGAATGATGTACAGCTATATAGTCATCCCTCAGTATCCTCAGGGGATTGGTCCTAGAACTTCTTCATATCAAAATTCACAAGTGCTCAAGTCTCATATATAAAATGGTATAGTATTTGCATATAAGCTACTATATCCTCTCATATACTTTATTTACTTATTTTTTTGAGACAGAGTCTCACTTTGTTGCCCAGGCTAGAGTGAGTGCCGTGGCCTTAGCCTAGCTCACAGCAACCTCAAACGGGGCTCAAGCGATCCTCCTGCCTCAGCCTCCCGAGTAGCTGGGACTACAGGCATATGCCACCATGCCAGGCTAATTTATATATATATATATATATATGATATATATATGTGTGTGTGTATATATATATATATATTAGCTGGCCAATTAATTTATTTCTATTTAAAGTAGAGATGGGGTCTCGCTCTTGCTCAGCCTGGTTTTGAACTCCTGACCTCCAGCAATCCGCCCGCCTCGGCCTCCCAGAGTGCTAGGATTACAGGTGTGAGCCACCGCCCCCGACCCTCTCATATACTTTAAATCATCTCTAGATTACTTATAATACCTAATACAATGTAAATGCTATGTCAATAGTTGTTATATATTTTTTTAATTTGTATTTTTTATTGTATTGTTATTTTTAGTTTTTTTAAAAGATATTTTGATCTGTGGTTGGTTGAATCCACAGATGCAGAAGCCAAAGATACCGAGGGCCAACTATGTATGTACACACAGTCCATATATGTATTCAATTTAAGAAGCAAAGTGTAGAAGTGTATTCAGCATGCTCCCATATGTTAAACAACAAAGGAACTAGCAAAAGGGATTGCAAAGTCTAGGGTGGGAGGGAGACCTGCTTTTCACTACAATCTTTGGCCCTTAAAAAAAAAACAACAAAAACCCCACCAAGAATATAAATGACCTTTTCCATAAAAATGCTAACAAAATTAATGGAAATAGCCATATGAAAAAGAAATCTTCCAAAACTACCCCTAAATAATACTGAACTTTATATGTTAACTCCCTTTGTTCTTACAGTTATAAAAATGTTTTCACAAATATCAGAAATATACTTAAAACCAGAAGACTGCTTTAAAGGATTGGGCCATAACTATATCTGTAAGTACTAATTTAAGAACACTATTTAGTAAAAAATATACAGCATGTTAACATTAAGGCAGAATTTAGTGGCAAACAAACAGTAACTTATGACTAGAATTTAAAAATTCACTACTTTTTAAATTATCTTAAAATGAAATTATCACTCTAGCCTGGGCAACAGAGTGAGACTCTGTCTCAAAAAAAAAAAAAATGAAGTTATCACATTTACTTCTACAAATTAAAAACACTTCTCCTTTCCTTTTTTAAAGGAAGCATGTTTACCTAGCTCTTTAACATTTTTAGATGGGTCCATTTCTATATGCATTTATCGTCAACATTAAATCTCTGCCAACTGATGAATTTAAATCTCAACAAACCTGAAAAACCAAATGCTTTAAGTAAGTCCGATGCCAAAAAAGATCCTATGAATTTGCCAGCTGTTTCCTTTTCACTCCACCTAACACTCCCTCCTCCTAATGGAAAATTTTGACATGCAAATTTTTTACACGTAGCTTTTGTTCTGATACAGAACACAGATAACAAGTAATAGTTTGCAACAATATTCCATGAGGTTTCTAAGTTACAAAACCACACTATAGTCATACTCCATATTTATGCCACAAGAAACTGAACCCCAGAATGGTGGTAATCTTAATTCTCAAATGCTATTAATGAAATCATTTTAAGTAGCTACGGGCAGGCCCTTCCTGTATTAGCACTGGTAATATAGTGCCCACAGGTAGCTGAAAAAGAAATATAGACTAGTGAAACCGTCCCAGTTGTGGGAATGCAGTCGAGGTGGCCTCTAGGGTAAATTAAGAATGTTTCAGAAGAGACTGTAAACTTGGTCTTAAAGAATGTGCATCAGGTGAACCAGGAAGGGAAAGGAATTCTGGGAGAAGGAACACCTGGCCAGATTCCAAATGGCTTTAAATGTCAGGCAGTGAAATCTGGATTATATCCTTTGTGAAATGAGGAACCACTGAAGGTTTTTAGCTGTGAGAGTGACAATATGATGTTTTCAAAATCAATCTATCTATCTATTTTTGAGACAGAGTCTTGCTTTGTTGCTCAGGCTAGAGTGAGTGCCCTGGCATCAGCCTAGCTCACAGTAACCTCAAACTCCTAGGCTCAAGCAATCCTAGTGCCTCAGCCTCCAGAGTAGCTGGGACTACAGGCATGCGCCACCATGCCTGGCTATTTTTTTTTCTATATATATTAGTTGGCCAATTAATTTCTTTCTATTTATATATAGTAGAGACGGGGTCTTGCTGTTGCTCAGGCTGGTTTCGAACTCCTGACCTGGAGCAATCCACCCACCTCAGCCTCCCAGAGTGCTAGGATTACAGGTGTGAGCCACTGCGCCCGGCCAATATGATGCTTTAGAAAGAACTGGCAGCAGGGTAGAGCATGGACTGAATTAAAACGCTACCACAGGCTGGGCGCGGTGGCTCACGCCTGTAATCCTAGCACTTTGGAAGGCCGAGGCAGGCAGATTGCTTGAGGTCAAGAGTTCGAAACCAGCCTGAGCAAGAGGGAGACCCCGTCTCTACTATAAATGGAAAGAAATTAATTGGCCAACTAATATATATATAGAAAAAATTAGCCGGGCATGGTGGCGCATGCCTGTAGTCCCAGCTACTTGGGAGGCTGAGGCAGAAGGATTGCTTGAGCCCAGGAGTTTGAGGTTGCTGTGAGCTAGGCTGACGCCATGGCACTCACTCTAGCCTGGGCATCAAAATGAGACTCTGTCTCAAAAAAAAAAAACAAAAAAAAAAACACTGCCACATAATCTTGGCAAGAGATGAAGGCTTGCACTAAAGCAGTGAGGATGAGAATGAAGAGACAGATATAACAAGACAGAATAGACAGGTCTTAGAATCATCTGATTAAAAGTTGGAGCCCAGAGAAGTAAAAGTCTTACTAATGTAGTAGTTATAAAAGCAGTAGTTCCTTCCAGGATATGTCAAAATGGTGCTCATTAACAAGATGTCCACTCTTCTGTTACACTAAAAAAAGTTGGAAAGCTTTCTTTGTACTCTTATTGGAGTAAATGCAATCAAAAAATCAAAATGGAGTATATGCAATCAAAAAGGACAAACAAGTAGAACTATTGTTGAAAAGAAACAAAATTAAAAAGTCTGACAGAAACAAAAGGGACTGTGTAAATAGGAAATTGGTTACATATACACATACATACATATGTGTATGTATATACATATTTTTAAAAAAGAGACAGGGTCTCTCTCTATCACCCAGACTGAAGTGCAGTGCTGTGATCATAGCTAACTACAGCCTCAAACTCCTGGGCTCAAGTGATCCTCCTGTCTCAGCCACCCAAGAAGCTAGAAATATAGGTCCACACCATGCCCAGCTCATTGTTTAAATTTATTTTTTACTGAAATAGGCGCTTGCTATGTTGCCCAGGGCTGGTCTCAAACTCCTGGCCTCAAGTGATCCTCCCACCTCAGCCTCCCAAAGTGCTAAGACTATAGGCTTGAGTCACCACACCCAAAACTTACAAATAGCTTTTAAAATAGCACTACATTTACTTCTAGGAATGTCTTTTTTTTTTTTTTTTTTAGACAGTCTCACTTTGTTTTCCAGGCTAGAGTGAGTGCCGTGGCATCAGCCTAGCTCACAGCAACCTCAAACTCCTGGGCTCAAGCACTCCTTCTGCCTCAGCCTCCCGAGTAGCTGGGACTACAGGCATGCACCACCATGTCTGGCTAATTTTTTGTATATATATATGTATGTATATTTTTAGTTGGCCAATTAATTTCCTTCTATTTTTAGTAAGAGACAGGGTCTTGCTCAGGCTGGTTTTGAACTGCTGACCTGGAGCAATCTGCCTGCCTCGCCTCCCAGGGTGCTAGGATTATAGGCATGAGCCACCGTGCCCGGCCTTCTAGGAATGTCTTACCCTTTGCCAAATATGTTCAAGAGATACCAAATCAAAATCTCAGATTTTGTTATGAATAAGGCTGAAATTAAACTTATTTTAACATGCTTTAAAATCCTGACACATCAGATAGCCTACCAGTGAATCCTTATTAGAAGCGAACCTCTTTCTAATATGCCAGAATGTGGCATTCAAGTGGTTATGAAAAGATGTTTTTCTGGATTAAAGTCATTTGAAAATACCTATAGTCCAGAAGAAATAAAAGAAGCTAACCTTAAACATAAGATATATTTA